CCAAAAAATTAAAATGGCGTTTCTCCATACATCGTAAATCTCGTTTTTCAAAGTGTTTAAAAATTAACGACAAAACAAATTACCAAACCTGTAGAGAAAGAACCATAATAACTAAATATAAGAAATCAAAAAAGAAAGAAAATTTTTAAACTTACAATTAACACGTTAAAATTTTCTTTAAAATTAAATAACTAGAGTCAGCATGATGAGGGGTGAAATTGGCCTGAAGGTCATAAGGAACGTTCGCCAGATGATAAAGGTGAAAGAGTGAGGGAAAACAAGTGGGAATAAGAACGTCAACATAAAATCTTTCCATACTAAATCAATTTAAAATTTATTATTAATATTATTTCTATTTAAAATAGAAAATCTTATTGTTACCATGGGAGACAAAAATGCAGGCCTCGTTGTGTTGGATGAAGAGTCATACATAAAAAAGACATTAACTTTTTTCAAAGAAAATAACATTTTAAAAATTAAGAATAATCCCACCCTTAAATTTAACTTTAATTTATTTTTATAGAGAGTGTGTATTTAAGTAAAACACCCAAATAAAACTCAATAAAAATTAACATATTCTTTGGCAAATAAAAACATTGAGTTTTTCTATATAAAAACAGAAAATAATAATACTGACAAAACAGATTTAAAGCTTTTTATAATTTTGTTTGAAAGCTTTGTATAATTTCTTTATTTCTACGTCATCATGTCTGCTAATTTGAAATATGCCGTTACCAAGTAAATTAATGGGACCGTAAAATACATACTCTTCATCTACAACCGCGATGTCTGGTGTTTTCGGCCATACAAAAAAATCCAAATCTTGTTGTAAGAACTGAATTTTGTACTTTTTGCTGTCGGTTTTTTGAACAGTTTTGCCTATATACCATCTTTCTTCATAAAATACAGCGTAATATTTGTCAAACTAAAAGTATCAATTAGGTGAGATAAAACATTTAGACAAAAAAAAGAGTATCATCGATCTGATAAATTATTTCGGGATTAGCAGATAAAACATTTGTTGCGTCGTTTAGTAAAGAAAAAAAGTCTGTTATAAACAGTTGATTATTGTCAATATTGTCTCTTTTGCGTTTAGATCTTTCACTTCTTCCGTACTTTTCTAATTTCCATTTTGAAGAGCTAGTCTGGGGAGAATTATTACGAGTAACAATTTTTCGTGTAGGAACTCGTGTAAGGGTGTCAGTCGAGATTTCGGTCTTTGTTGGAGTTACACACTCGGTTACGCCGATTGATACTTC